CGTCGGCACCCCCATCCACCGCCTCATGGCCGACCCCTACATCGCCGTGGTGGCCGGTGCCCTCACCACCTGCAACATCCCCCTCGCCTTCCTGGAGCCCACCATCGCCAACTGGATGAAGGAGTCCATGGGGGCCACGGAGTGGGAGATGGGCCTCACCTGGCTGCCTGCCTTCTTCCCCCACGTGCTGGGCGTCTACATCACTGTCAGGCTGGCTGCCAAGTACCCCCACCTCCAATGGTTTTACGGGGCCCTCGGCATGGCCATCATTGGCGCCAGCTCCTGTGTGGTGCCAGCCTGTAGGAATTTCGGGCAGGTCGTCGTCCCCCTCTGTGGCATTTGCTTTGGGATCGCCTTGGTGGACACGGCCCTGCTGCCCACCCTGGCCTTCCTGGTGGATGTGCGCCACGTGTCTGTCTATGGCAGCATCTACGCCATCGCAGACATCTCCTACTCCGTGGCATATGCCCTGGGGCCCATTGTGGCCGGCCAGATTGTGCACACCATGGGTTTCGTGCAGCTTAACCTGGGAATGGGTCTTGCTAATGTGCTTTATGCCCCTGTTCTCCTCTTCCTCAAAAACGTCTGCCAAATGAAACCCTCTCACTCGGAGAGGAACATCCTTCTGGAAGAAGCACCTAAAGGACTCTATGACACCATTAAAATGGAGGAGCGCAAAGGCAAGGGCAAAAGCCTCTATCCAGCTGGTGAAACAGAGAACAATGTGGACTCCTACCACAGAGACCTGACAGGGGCGTCTGAGGAGGACTGTTCAGACTATGAATACAGTTAGGTTACTCTGAGCTGCCCAGCCCCTGGTAACAAGAATTGGCATGTGGAAGGGAGGGAAAGGGGGATGAAAGCGTTATTGCCATACATTTATGTACCAACGTGCAATATATACATTTTAACCTTTGTCATGATGTAATGGCTTTCTTCTTCTACACTTATTTTTAATCGGTATTTCCTTCAGCATTCTGGCAAGGTGGGTGGGAGGCGGGGAGTCAGTCCCGAAGAAGATTATCTGAGTTATCATTGGCATAAATCTGTGATGGTCCTTCCAAAAAAAACAAAAACAAAACCCAGCCTCATAGCTGGGGTCTAATTGTGCAAAGTTTTCTTGAGCTCAAACTGTGTGTGACATACTGTATATCTCTGTAAAAATATAAGAAAAGCAAAAAAGTGTGTAATAAATTAAAAAATGGCATATTCAGGGACTTAATAAATCTTGTGTACATATACTTAGATTTTCAGTTGGTTTCATATATTTAAGAGGAGCAACAACTATCACAACAACTTATTCTTCTTTGGGAATAAACTGAAGCATTGTACTCATTTTTTTCTCTTGTGCTGCTCTCCGGTACGTGCAATATGCTGTATTATGTTGAAGTCCAAACTACAAGAATAATATGATCTAAATAAATTGAACTGAAGGGGATCGATTGTCTTTGTTTCATTGATGTGAGTCGCTTGAGGGAAGGGGATCGTTATGCTCAGTGTAATTCATATGGTAAGAATTCCTCATAACCCCAACCTCATAATTTACCAAAATCACCCAAGAGAAAACCTGAATACAAAATGTTCTTTTTTTTCTTCAAAACCTATGTTAACAAATCCGAGCAAACAACATGGCACTGCAAACATGCTATCGATCACCTAAAAACGGCATCTTGATGCTATCTCATATTTTCACACTTTTCATTCGTGAATTTAAATTTTCATATATTCCAGAAATTACATTTCCAGCAAGTAGATACGAAATACTTTAAAACGCCTTTCTCGGTCCTTAATGCTGCCCCAATCACAGTGTCCACCACAATATAGCCGATAAGGATTAAACAAAACAAAGAAAAGATGGGTGAGCTGCTTCATTCAAACCTTTACAAAAAGCGGAAACCTTTATCAAACCACAGATTGGAACCACAGCGCATGTTTTGCCCTGGACGTTTCCCTTGATATAAAATAAAATCGTTTATTTAAATTCCCACCTCATTAGGAAAATAATTAAATGACTTATTTTCTCAAGTGCAGAAAAAGATACAAACGGCAACAGCAACTATGAAACAGTTGCCACCAGTTCTCTAGGGAAATGAGCGCCGCGAAAGAGGAACAGAGAAATCGTTCATCAATCCTATTTAACTGCGATGGACTGACTGACCTCGCATTGTTCTAGTCGCTTTCGGGGACACTCGAATCGCTGCTCAAAGGGTACAAAACTAATGAAAAGGCGACTAAGAAATGGCACGGCGGGTTTAGCAAAAGTAAAGCAACAAGGAATGCGGGTAAGAGTTGAATCCCGTTTTCCTAAAATACAGCCGCTCCTTGCGATGACCCGGATTGCGGCAGCAGCGGCTTTCCGCCGTGTCCAGGGGGCCGCCCGCATTTCTCCTGGCCGCCTTATTCGAGCGCCGGGTCTGTGCGGGG